CCACCACCACCACCACCACCACCACCACCACCATCATCATCCTCATTATCATAACTTCTGTTTATGATAAGACCCCTGATCCTGAGCCTCTAGGCACATTGTGCAGCTTGACATCTAGTGGGATGATGACACACAGTGCCTTTAGGAAAGTCTGTGGTGATGGTTTGGGTACTATGCATGCCTTATCTTTGGATCATTGAGTAGTTTTCTCTAATGTTGATCATAGAACTCGAATTTTTTTTTTCCCATCTGCAGTTCTTGATTATTTAGGATCATAGTGAAATCCTGTCTTACCTAATAATTTTCTTTCCTTTTGGCAATAGAATATTTAAACAGTTTCATAAATGCCAACCATTATAAAGTTTTATGAACTTCACCAATTTTTTTCAGCTTGAGCCATTTTAACATTGCTGTCTAACTAAAGGAAAGTATAACTAGGAGCTGGGTTCTCACCTTACTCAGCGTTTATATTTCTGCAGCAGCTTTTTGGCACCTTATGAGCTAATGTTCTGAAAGGGAAGCATTTGAGAGAGACAGTGTTAATGACCCAACCTTTCAATAGCATATCTAGGGAATTCATTTCTCACCCCTTTTGTTCTAACCTTGTTTTAAAACATATCCTGCTAAGTTTGAATGAGCAAATTATCTATAGACAGGATAGGTTTCAAAAGAACATCTTCAAAAAGTTCAGCATAGTGCAAGTAGAATCCCATTTTAATCTAAATCTAGCCCTATATATTTAGGTGTATTCCTGTGTACTAACGTACATTTTTGCTTTATTTACTATGAATACCTCCCTGGAATAAAGGGTTTTGGGCAGTAGGGCAATGTGCTTGTTGCCATGGTTTCCTGCAGAGCAGTCCAGCACCTTGCTAAGCAGTCAAGTGCCTTACTTAGTCAGCAAGTACTTGTTGCATATCCGACTCATGCCAAGCACTGTGGGTATGGTGGGTATCAAGTGTAGCAACACATGACCCACCCCTGTTCTTCAGGAACTTATAAAGTCTGATTGGAAGAGTTGGAAAGGCATTGTCGTTTTAGTGGGGTTATTTTATGTAACCTTATTATGTTTCTTTCTTTTTTTCTTACTGTGTTTCTATAGAGCTCTGGTGGCACAGTGATTAAGCAATCAGCTGTTCACCAAAAGTTTGGTTTGAACCTGCCAACCATTCTAAGAGAAAGACATAGCAGTCTGCTTCCTCACGGTGTGCAGCCTCGGAAAGCCTGTGGGGTAGTTCTCTGTTCTGCGGGTGGGATTCCCCTCAACAGCAGTGATTTCGGGTGTTTGGACTGTGTTGTTAATGTTAAAATAACACCAAAGATGACAAAGGGAGCTCCTCTCAGTGAAATGCCATGCTTCTAAAGTACGGAATTGATAACTGTAGCGTCATTATGAATTATTTTTTTATTTGTGTCTGTACAAAATACCTTTTTTTTTAACTCTGTTGCTGAGACTAGAAGCCAATTAGAGAACAGTAAACATGGGGAAATAATGTAATTTATTTTCTTGGTGTATGATTTAGGCAGTTTACATTCCCTGCTAATAAATAAATTACTATCCAACCCTAATGAATCACCCATTAAAAATTTTAAAATAAATTTTAAGATGTTATCAAAGGAAGTTTCTTAATAGTCCATAATCCTGCCACCCTCATTTTTCATATTCTTTTCCAGTGTTTTCCTCTATCTGTACATGATATTTTGTGATTGAATCAGAGTGTATATAATTTTTTCCATTTATCACATTATTCATAAACCCTCTCTCTATTTTTACTAGGCACAGCTTTCCCCCCACTATTTTTATTGGATTATAAAATAATCTGTCCTATCCTATGATTCTACTACACCATCAGTGTTCCCTTATGGGTATTTGGATATTAAATTGCGTACTTTTTTTATTGTGAAAATACAGCACACAGCTGTATTTTATATATATACATATACATATATTTGGGATGTTTTGCTGGTTTTAGTTATTTCTCTAGAATAACATGCACAAGACTGTTGTTACAAAGGAATAAAGGACAGAAGCAATATTATGGCTCTCACTATACTTCACCAGCACTTGAAACCAATTGCCAAAAAAGTGCTTTCCCTCCAAAGAAAGAAACTATATGTAATGTTAAAAGTTTTTTTTTTCCCAACAGATAAAAATTTTATGAGTTTATGTTTTGAACAAGTTCAGAGTTTATGAGGAATACCATGTCATGTACTCAAATATCATTATAGCCGAAAATTTAAATTACTTTGGAAATCGCTTTTCTGTGTAGTTTATTACTTTATGAGACATGAATGCCAAATTCTTGTTTCAAAGAATCAGAAGAACTTGTGGGAAAGCTATGTAAACTCTATGCTTTCTTTTCCCTCGGCTAAAACAAGGGTGATGAGAAAACTTCTCTGTAGGCTTGTTGGGATCATTAGGATAGTTATATGTGGTGCTTAGCACAGTTTCTGGTACTTGATAAGAATTTAATGTTGGCTGCTGTTAATAAAATAGCTGCTATTAAAACATACATACACAATCTAGGGATTCTGCATCTCTTTAGAAGTTTTTAAAAATGGGATTCTACCAGAATGTGGGTGTGTCTGTTTGGCTGAGAGCTTTCCCTGGAGTTCGTCTATGACAATGGAACTTTATGTTGTCCCATAGATCTGTAGCAGTTCTTTGCTGTGACAACCCAGGTAATTAATGACACTACCACTCTCCACTCCAGGAAATCATTTTTGTTGTGCTGATTTTGTTGACAGATGTTAACAGTCCTGGTCAGTAAACAGTGCTACACTTGTGATTGCCATTAGCTGCTGCTTTGTGCCCCCCAGGGACATTGCCAGCACTCTCTGAGAATGTCCAGATGATCCAGCACTGCCTCTGATACACTTGCAGCACGAAAATGCTCTATTCCAGCGGCTGCACTGTCCTGGGAAATTGAGTGAGACAGAATATGATTATCTGTAGTTTTCAAATGTGTTCCAGAGAAATTTACAAAGGAAGAATGGAGTAAGAAATTTCAAAATTACCATTAAAAAAGGCTTAATTCTGAATTTGAGTACTTTACATCTTGTTTTTCCCTCCTTCAGCCTGGAGATGTCTCAATCAGTTGAGTCTGCATATAAAAATGCACTGTTGAAAGTTCTGTTAGTAGAATTGCTAATAACCGTGATCCTGGTGTAAGGGCTTTAGAAGTCCATCATCCATCCAATCTGCACTGAGCTTTGACAGTGTCATGCAGAATTCTGGCGATGATGAGAAAGTGGAGCTCCTCCTCCCAGTCTCCTGCTTTTGCAAGGCTCTAAGATCTAGAAATGGGATCCGTAGGCAGCTGCATGGTGCCTCTTAACGTTGAGATATGTGCTCTTTTTAAGTTTTACTTCCTAATCTGCCCTTGAGATTGTGCTACTGGTGTCATACTAACACCAGCCCTAGTACAAACCAAAGGAGGCTAATTCTTACACTCTCCTTTCTCCTACAGATGATCCCAGCCCTAGACTCAGTGCACAAGCTCAAGTTGCTGAGGATATCCTGGACAAATACAGGAACGCGATTAAACGAACCAGCCCCAGTGAAGGAGCAATGGCAAACTATGAAAGTGCAGGTGATAATCATGATAAAGATTTGAATGGTATCTTTTGTATCACACTGATAAAGGTAATCTGAATTTAAAATAGTCTTTAAAAGAAAGAAGAGCTAGGGGACTCTGTATTTCAAACCAAAGCAAATAAAATTCAGTTGATGTCAGCTCTCTACACTAGATGTAGGTATGTGCAAATGTTCAAACCAGATGTTCAAATGCCTCAGAGTTGTCATCCCGTAAGTCTGGGGTGACCGACTTAGGGGAAGTTGGGGCATAGAGGGTTTTTCCCCCTATTGTCTACCAAAGTGTAACTTTATCTTGTTTCTTTCTTTCTTTTTTTTATCTTTTATCTTGTTTCTTACACTCAGTATACAAATGGACACAGACTCTTAGGACAGGTTATCCATTGTTGCTCAGTACCTAATTTTAGAGAATTCTGCTTTCTTTATAGTGGAATGCTGAATAGTTGGTTAGAAAGAAGGGTATAGTCACTAAGGTAAATTAAGTAGAAAACAAAAGTATATAAAAGTATAAGTAGTATACTATATGTATATTCTATGCATGAACACTACTATGTATGTATAAGTAGTATACTCTATGCATGAATGTGCATAGAGTGTCCCTTGGAAGACTCCATAAGGAGTGGGGGAGACATGAGGTATGGGAGACGGGAGTTGCTATCAAAGAGTTCAAGAAGAAGAAAGTGTATTGAAAATAATGAGGACAGCAATTGTACAATTAGGCTTGATTTAATGGAACTATGGGTTACAGTCATATCTGTGAGAGCTCCTAATAAAACGTGAAAAAGGAAGAAAGGAATATAGTCATAGGAGTTGACTCTGAGGGGGACTCCTCGGGATAAAACAGGAAGGACCCAGGGAAAAGGAGAACTTCCCTCTCCATACTTCTGATTCTCTTGAAGTTTAAAATACTAAAAAAAAAAATTGTAAGAATAATACAATAAAGATCCTTTATAGCCACTTCCCATACTTAATACTTTCCTAAAGCTTCAAAATTAAATGGTTATTTAAGAATCAGAAATATATTTTCCTACGTAACTATAATATCTTTACTACCTTTTGATTATTTGTGTGTGTATTATTTACACATAATTGATTAATTAAAAACATAACAACTCTGGACCCATCAATCTACCTTTGCCGCATTGGTGTCCCTGGCTCATTGATAGGTAATGTAAGAGCCCTTGTCAGAAGAACCAGGATACCTGAGTGCTGTTCTACCTTAGTAACTTGCTAACCTAGGAATTTACAGCAAGTCCGTTTTTAACTGGGTGGAATTCCATGTCTATAAAATGAGTTAGAAAAGTAATTTTTGAGGTCCCTTTTAATTCTGAGTTGAGTAATTCTGGTTATAGAGTATTTATTTTATTGATACAGACTTTAATTGCTTTGATCTAGCCTTGCTTTAAGAAGCAAACTAGTTTTCTCAAAATAATTATCTCTTTATTGTTGCTGTTGATAATGTAAACACATTTAAGTGCTTGCAGGGTTTTTTTGTTTGTTTAACTGTTATTCTATAATGCATTTCTAACTTGTTGGTAAGTTGCTTTGAATGTTTACTAGTGATAACCTGGCCCTCCTTTTGGGGGCATGATTTGTTTAGAAGTGATGGGTGATGGTGAAAGTGCACATGATTCTCCTCGTGATGAAGCTCTGCAGAACATCTCAGCTGATGATCTCCCAGACTCTGCGAGCCAAGCAGCCCACCCTCAGGATTCAGCTTTCTCTTACAGGTATATTTCTTCTAGGATTTACAGATTGTATGTGGATTTGGATTTTTACCACTGCTGTAGTCACTTCAAGTCAAGTGATTGATTCACTTAATAAATGTTTAGGAAGCAGGAAGATAAACATGAAATGCCTTCTTTTTAAAACAAGCTTTAGGTGTGAGTGTCATCTATCAAAGATTTAGCTTGGGGCTAATACACTTACATGCCTCATTAAATGAAATAAGTGGCAATGCTTTGCTCATCCAAAGCTACCAGCAGGAGTGAAGACTGTTAGGGGATAACTAAGGTGATTAGGAGACACATTTTTGACTAACCCACTGACTAGTAAACCGATAGGAGCCCTCTCAGCTTGTCATCCCTCTCATGCCCAGGGCATGCCTTTCTATCTTTCACAAGGCTCGAGAAGGAAAATGACTTTAGGAGCCTTTGTTTCATAGGAAACCTCTGCTTCCTCTACCAAACAATTTCATTTTAAGAAATAACACCATAATTGCTTGTGGCTGTACCAAACCTTTTCTCTATCTCTGTTGCTCTTAAGGTCTTTGTTCTTTATAGGTATTTTCAAACACGAATAAAAATGGAAGAGTATAATGAACCACATATGTCCCCATATTATTTTAACGCAAACTCCAAAGAGCATGTTATATGATTCATTTACAAGTATTGTAAAGCTTTGCTTTTTTTTTTTTTTTTCTATAGTAAAGTTAGTGGGGATGAGAAAAAGTATCTTTGTTTTCCAACTATGACTGGTAGCATTTTGCTGAACTCACCAGCTCACTTTATCATTGTATGTTTTATAAGAACCTTTGCAAAGTAGATGAATGTTATACGTGATTAGCTTGACTTCTAAATTACTCTTAATTATAAAACCAATAGGGAAAAATTTTGAGCCAGTCAGATTAGGTAGACAAGTATACCTTTTTGCAAAGGAAGAGTGAACTCTGCCCCATTCTCTAAGACATTAGGCTCCTTCCTTTAAATGGTGGACTTGGGCATCTAAAGAAGCTCTAGTTCCTGGTCCACAGCACCAGAAAGGGCCACACGTGATGGTAGATTAAAGCCTCCATTGTTCTCAGGGGAAGAGCTGCCGTGTGTGGAAGAAAACATTTGGGTTTTTTTTTTTTGATTCTTTATTTAGGATTGTGTAAATATATATATTTTAAAAATAATTTTATTGGGGGCTTGTACAACTCTTTTCACAGTCCATACATACATCCATTGTGCCAAGCACATTTGTACATTTGTTGCCATCATCATTCTCAAAACATTTACTTTCTGCTTGAGCCCTTGGTATCAGCTCCTCATTTTTTTCCACTCCCTCTCCGCTCCACCCTCCCTCATGAACCCTTGATAATTTATAAATATTATCTTACACTGTCCGATGTCTCCCTTCACCCACTTTTCTGTTGCCCATCCCCCAGGGAGGAGGTTATATGTAGATCCTTGTAATTGGTTCCCCCTTTCAACCCTCCCCTCCCTCTACCCTCCTGGTATTGCCACTCTCATTACTGGTCCTGAAGGGATCATCTGTCCTGGATTCCCTGTGTTTCCAGTTCCTTTCTGTACCAGTGTACATCCTATGGTCTAGCCAGATTTGTAAAGTAGAATTGGGATCATGATAGTGGTGGTGGTGGGGGGTTGGGGTGGGAGGAGAAAGCATTAAAGAACTAGAGGAAAGTTGTATGTTTCATTGTTGCTACACTGCACCCTGACTGACTCTTCTCCTCCCCGCTACACTTCTGTAAGGGGATGTCCAGTTGCCTACAGATGTGTCCTGGGTCCCCAATCCGCACTCCCCCTCATTCACAATGATTTGATTTTTGGTTCTTTGATGTCTGATCCCTGATCCCTTCTACACCTCGTGATCACACAGGCTGGTGTGCTTCTTCCCTGTGGGCTTTGTTGCTTCTGAGCTAGATGGCCGCTTGTTTACCTTCAAGCCTTTAAGACCCCAGATACTTTATCTTTTGATAGCTGGGCACCATCAGTTTTCTTCGTCACATTTGCTTATGCACCCATTTGTCTTCAGTGATTGTATTGGGAAGGTAAGCACACAATGATAAGATTTTTTGTTCTTTGATGCCTGATAACTGATCCCTTTGGCATCTCATGATCACACAGGCTGGTGTGCTTCTTCCATGTGGGCTTTGTTGCTTTTGAGCTAGATGGCCGCTTGTTTACCTTCAAGTTTTTAAAGCCCTAGATGCTATATCTTTAGTCGGGCTCCATCAACTTTGGAAGAAAACATCTTATGAAGGTCTGTCCCACCACCAGTGGATACCATTGAGGAGTGTGGGCAGTTAAAACTTAAAGGGAAACAGGTTTGGGTTCAACACAAAAACTTGCAAGCAGCAACACAATAGAAAAGGCTTATTGTCAGGTGCCCACCTTGTCTGGTGGCAAGTCAACATTTCTCAGGGGATGTGGTAGAAAGGATTCTATTTTTTCTTCGGTGATAGTGGATCTGATGACTTCTCTGGTCCCTTCCAAATGTTACATAATAGACTTTTCTGACTCTGTGTGTGTGTAATGGCAATTTTGGTAAGATTACTATCTTTTTAAAAAAGATTTTTAAAAATCGTTTTATTAGGGGCTCATACAACTCTTATCACAATCCATACATACATCAATTGTGTAAAGCACATTTGTACATTCATTGACCTCATCATTCTCAAAACATTTGCTCTCATATATCTAGCATAGAGCTCAGCATATCATAGAACTTCAGAAAGGTTTTGTAGCTTGATTAGTACTGGGTCTTCCCAAAATGATCTCTACTCAGAGCCTTTTACAACCTTGCTTACAGTAACTAGAAATCCTGTTCCTTTAAGTGAAATGTCCATAGTTAAAAATTCTCTTTGTTCCTGAGGTATAGCATATTATAGAGTAAATATAGTTTTAAATTGTAGCCTTCTCTGGATAAGGAGATGAATTTACTAACATTATTAGGTTTTAAAATATATTTTATAAATCATTCTTCAGAGATGCAAAAAAGAAACTGAGGCTTGCACTTTGTTCTGCGGACTCGGTTGCTTTCCCAGTGCTAACTCATTCACGGAATGGTTTGCCAGACCACACAGACCCAGAAGGTAAGTTGCTGCTTGGCAGTTTATATGTTCGTATAGGTTAAGCCATATGAAATTGTCAGTACTTGACTGCATTTAGTCGGTATAGTAAATCTATATGGTTCAGTGTCATGTATTTATATTAGCATCAGCTAAGGACATTTTGAGTATTGATGGTTCATGAATTGGTTCTGTAATTAAATAGTCCTGTAAATGGGAGTGGTCTTATAGCTAATGGTTCTGACAATGAACATTTAGAGCTGTAAGCTGAGGTGTTAACATACAGCCTTGTTAGACCATGGAAATACTCAAGAGTTAACAGGTTTCTTCTTGTTTTTTGCTTGTTTAGACAATGAAATTGTATGTTTCTTAAAAGTTCAAATAGCTGAAGCAATCAATTTACAAGATAAAAACTTAATGGCACAACTTCAAGAAACCATGCGGTGTGTGTGCCGCTTTGATAATAGGACGTGTAGGAAACTGCTGGCATCGATAGCTGAGGACTACAGGTAATTGACTCCATCTGGCTAGCCCTTAGACCTAAATTGGTTGTTTTTATATCTTCATCATTATTGAAGAAAGGAATCTAGGCTTACTAGAGAGTGGTTGGCAATGTTTACCTGAATATAGATTTCCAAGGGACACATTTATTTGGTTGTTTAGTGTAAAAAAATAGTTATAAATTAGGTGCTTTTTGTAATAAAGTAATGCACTTTATTTCATTCAGCTCTGGACTAAAGCAGCTTCAGCAAAGAGGCATGTCTGTGTGTTGTGAGGCCCAGAGAGGATAAGATAGTCTTTTTTTCAGGAGTGATGGGAAAGACCTGGACCAGAGAATCAGAAGTAGGGTGAGGAATGCTACCCTTTGTTGCCTTTGCAAATGGTTATATGGGGAGAAACTAACTGAGGTACTTTGGAAGTCAAGAGGCGTCACAGAGCATAAGTGCTGTGATGATGGTTGTATTTAGATTACCAGCAAGTTATCGGTGCTGAATGTTTGTGACCTAGTGGTATATTAATGTAGATTTTGCTCAGAGTAATTTTTTGTAGCAGTCATTGCCCTGGTAGGGGAGATTATGCTCCAATATAAAATAGACCGTCTATGCAAAGGGGCTTAGAAACATTTGGTGAGTTAGGCAGCTAAGTGGTCAGCTCAGTAGATAATATTCTTCACAATCATGCAAGATGATTCCATTTCTAGAGCTGTCAGCCTCATTTAGTCTTGTGGAAAATTAACTGGAGCCTGAAATGCCAAGTTTTTAAAATCAAAGTTTATGAAATAATTTTCCATAGAAAATGTCTTTCAGAATCTCCCCTCCCCCCACACTTTAGGAAAAGGACCCCATATATTGCTTACCTAACTCGTTGTCGACAAGGACTGCAGACCACCCAGGCTCACCTGGAAAGGCTGTTGCAAAGGGTTTTGCGGGACAAGGAGGTGGCCAATCGATATTTTACTACTGTCTGCGTGAGGTTACTGCTGGAGAGCAAAGAAAAGAAGATTAGAGAATTCATTCAAGGTAACCAAGTGTCTCTTCAGCCATGTATTGAAAAGATTTTAGAAATTTTTTTTGTTTCAGCACTTACACACCTTAGAACATCTTCTAAAATGCCCACAGTCATTTTATGGGTTCATAATAATTAAACTTGGATGTTAAACATTGTCCTGAATTGAATATCCAGTTCAAAATGCAGAAATTGGTAAAATTTTAGATCTATGATTTTTTTTTCTCGTTTAAAAGAATGTTTTAGGAGGAGCAGCGAGGGAGGAAAATTATTTTTGTAACAAACCCTTTCTCTTCAATTTTTACATGTATTTCTACTTTTTGTTTGTTTTAATGATTTGGCTCCACATGCTTTTTTATGCACAAACAATAATTAATAATATATGTATAGCAGTGTATATTACTCATGAATACATTGACCATGCATCTTCTCTTAAAATAAACCAAATCCATATATATAGTAGGTTTAAAATTATGGTATCTCCCTCACTAGTGATTAAAATTATTTTTATAACTTAATTTTATTCAGCTAACTTAAAATTTTATGATTTTACACTGGAGACTTTCAGAAACTCACAGCAGCTGATGATAAAACTGCTCAGGTTGAAGACTTTCTGCAGTTTCTTTACGGTGCGATGGCTCAGGACGTCATATGGCAGAATGCGAGTGAAGAGCAGCTTCAGGATGCTCAGCTGGCCATTGAGCGTAGTGTGATGAATCGGATTTTCAAGCTTGCGTTCTACCCTAATCAGGATGGGGACATACTTCGTGACCAGTGAGTGCTGCTTTATTCAATGCTCCTGTTGCAGCTCCAAATTTTAGGCAAGCTACACAGGAGAGTATCTGATACTAAAAGAGATTGCACCAGTTACTTTCCACCCATCAGACTGACAAAAATGATACACCCAGTGCTCTCAGGAATGTGGGGAATTCGACTTAAAGGAAAATAAACCAGTATGACCTTTTGGGAAGGTGGCATGGCTTTTTAAAATTCTGTCTAAAGTGGTCTTGTCTTCCCTTCTTCATGTGATTAGTTCTTATCCTTCATATCTTGATTCAAGCATCACTTACCGAATATACTTGAGTATAAGCGAGCCCGAATATCAGCCGAGGCACCTAATTTTACCACAAAAACAGCATTAAAAATGTGCTGAAAAATTCGACTTATACACAAGTATATACGGTAATTAGGGAAAGTTCCTTACTTTTTTTCTTTTTCCTTTTTTTCCCCCTCCCTTCTTTACCTTTTTGATCAAATGAAATCTCTTGTTAACAACTGTCAGGCCTGTGTTCCTTTATTAGTGCTTGCCATGGTTACAGTTTTACATTTCCTTGAGTCACAGCTTCCCAAGCCAGCCTTATTGATATTTTAAGTCAGATAGTCCTTTATTGTGGGGGGCCTTCTTGGACATTGAAGGATAATTATACTAGATGACAGTAATACCTTCCCCAAATTGTGACATCCAAAAAATGCCTCCAGACATTGCCATTGTCCTCTGGGGACAAATTCATCCCTGTTCTTGAGAACTATTAGTTTGTGTGAGCATATTTTGGATCTTGACAGCTAATATAAGGGTAATTTAAGGTATTGCCACAAAATCATAGACACTTTTATATTTGAAAGTATCCAAATGTGAAGCTCTGGTTTCTTACTTGGGTCTATGCATTCAGAAGGTGGTGTTTTCCTCTCTCTAACCCGTCCTCAAAGAATTCTGAGCTTTTCCCATTACGCCGTATCAAAGCAGCAGTTTTAGCATTCTCCAGGGGCCCAAATCATGTTTCTCAAATTTGGGGGAACAAAAAGAAGTCTGAAGGGGTAAGATCAGGATGGATGGGGGTTCGGTTTCCTAATAAAAGCCTTGTAGGACAGCCCTCGATGCCCTCAAAAAATAAGTAGTTACATGGTTGTGATGGGAAAAAAAATTCTTCAGTGCAATTTTCTAACATTTTTCTCATAAATGTAGTTTTAAATTTGCTTAAAGCTTTTCCATAATGTCTCCATATTATCCTCTGTCCTTTGAGGAAACCTTTGCGGCCTCCAAACAGTAATCCTAACCTTCTGTGCTGGCATGTTACATGGATTTAAATGAGCCAGCAGATTACCTTGGAAGCCTTTTTTAAAAAAATAGGAACTTTTTTTTGAAGGCACCCTAAGGAAACTAAGGCACGTCTATTACTAAGAGAATTAGTCTGCTCCGATTCACTGATCACAGAGACATGTTTAAACATGCTTTGTGTGGATGAGATTTGTGCATGTATAAACTGGAATCCTAATAAATACTTTTGGACATACTGTCACAATGCTTATTAATATATAGTAATAAGTCGTTTATATTTTACTATAAGAAATATATAGGTATGACAAAATACCAATTTATAAACTATCAAGGGCTCATGAGGGAGGGGGGAGCGGGGAGGGAGGGGAAAAATGAGGACCTAGTGTCGGGGGTTTAGGTGGAGAGAAAATGTTTTGAGAATGATGTACAAATGTGCTTTACACAATTGATGTGTGTATGGATTGCGATAACAGTTGTATGAGCCCCTAATAAAATGTTAAAAAAAAAAAGAAATATCTAGAATGGGATGTGGATTATATCTTAATAAAATAAGGACGTGGTTTTGTTTCAACCCTAAGGAGCTTTGGTGGCATAGTGGTTACACATTGGGTCTTGAACTTCAATGTCAGCAGGTTGAAACCATCAGTCACTCATTGAAAGAAAGATGAGCCTTCTACTCCCATAAAAAGTAAACAGTCTTGGAAACTCACAGGGCCAGTTGTACTCGGTCTTTAAGGTCACTGTGAGTTGGAATCAACTGCATGGCAGTGAGTTAGGCCTTGTTTTCTCTTCAGAGTGTGAGTCTAGGGCTTAAGATAGGAGGTATGAAGTGGGACATTTAAACTACTTCCTGTGAAGAGCAGCCTTGAAGTAGATTATTCCTTCCTACGCCTCTGTGGGAGGAGCCCTCTTGGCATACATGGTGAACTGCTTACTACAAGTCAGCAGTTTAAACCTAAGGGGAGACGTTGAGGCTGTCTACCTCCATAAAGATTTATAAGCTCACTCACCCTTTGTAGGACCTCTATGAGTCAGGATTGAGATATGTGGAGCTTACTTGTTATTTTTTTGTTTTTTCCCCCTCTATGGCATTTTTGTGGGTTTTGTAGAGTTGGAGAGTCAAGGTGTTCTGGAAGCCAGGAAAACCAGCTTGGCCTCTGCTGCTGATCCCTTTGTGGTCTTAGGCAAATTCCTCTGCTTTTTCAGCATGATTATTTTCACATGTAAAATCATCAGGCGGATGTTCTCAAGAGTTCCTTTTCCATCTGAGATCTTTGGTTTCTGGCTTTTGATCCCTCTGTTTCCTCTCTGCTTATTTATTAAATAAATAGTGTGCCCAAGGACTGGGCTAAGGATTCTACTCATTTCTCATTTGGAATATGTCTCGTCATGGAAAGTAGACGACTCACACCTCTCTGTGCCCTCAGCATTTCTAAGTAGGTCATAAGTATGAGACTTTTCTAATACATATAGAGTACATACAGTCTCAACTATAATTGTAGCTTGGCGTTAGATATAAGTCTAAAATGATCTTAATGTTTTGAAAAAACCAAACATTTTTCTGTATCTGAAATGTATATTTATTTGTGTGTGTGTGGTTGCTTTCAGGGTCCTTCATGAACATATTCAGAGATTGTCTAAAGTAGTGACTGCAAATCACAGAGCTCTTCAGATACCAGAGGTAATTTGAGTTTATATAACCTGGTGATATTACTAACTAAAAGTTACTTGGTTTACCATATATTTCCAAGTTTTCAAGGAACTAAATTAAAAATTTTTTTTTAAGCTTACCTCAGCGGACTCATGTTGTACTTGTCCTTTTGTGCTTGACTTACTTTGCTTAGCATGATTTCCTCCAGTTCTTCCCTTGCAGTGATGTGCTTCATTCATTCATCACTGCTTTTTAGCCATGCGTAGTACTCCATTGTATGCATGTACCACAGCTTTTTAATCCACTCATTAGTTGATGGAAATTTGGGTTGTTTCCAACTCCTTGCAATTGTGAACTGTGCTGCAATGAACATTGGAGCACAGATGTCTGGCCTTGGTTTGTTTCTTGCCTCTTCTGGGTATATGCCCACCCAGTAGGGGGATTGCTGGGTCATATGGTAGCTCAATTTCCATCTGTTTTAGAAATCGCCAGATTGATTTCCATAGTGGCTGTACATACTTACAGGTCCACCAGCAGGGGATGAGAGCTCTTGTCTCCCCACAGCCCCTCCAACACCTGTTGCTTTCTGATTTTTTGAATTGAGCTGTCTTTGAGGGTGTTAGGTGGTACCTCATTGTTGTTTTGATTTGCATTTCTCTTATGGTTAAAGATCGGGAACATTTTCTCATATGTTTGTTGGCCATTCGGATTTCTGCCCCTGTGAAGCTTCTGCTCAGGTCCTGTGCCCACCTCCTTTTGGTGGGCAATTAGTTTTTTTCATTTTGGAAGCGAGCAAAGTATTGTAGATTTTAGTAATGAGTCCTTTTTCTGATGTGTCATTGCTAAAGATGTTTTCCCAGTCCGTGGACTCTCTTATTACTACTCTCGGTGAATTCTATCAATGCACACAGGTGTTTTATCTTCAGTATATCCCATTTGTCAATTTGTGCCTGCTTTGTGTTTGTGTCCTTCCCTATTTCTGATAGCCTATGTATTCCCTGTGCCAAAGTTCTCAAGTTGGTCCCAATTCCCTCATTGATGGCCCTAATAGTTTGGGGTTTAACTTCAAGATCTGTGATCCACCTTGAGTTTATTCTTGTGCATGGAGTGAGAATAAGGGTCTTGCTTCATTTTTCTGCAGGTAAATATCCATTTTTTCCAGCACCACTTGTTAAAAAGGGCATCTGCTTCCCATTGGATATTTTTTTGGGCCCTCTAAATTAAAATTTTAAAACACCATTTGTAATAGATGTAATTCACTCTAACCATAGCATTCCTTCAGCTGAACTTCCCTGTCCTGAAGAGGGTCCTTGGTAGTGGACCAGCATTGAGGCATCCCACCCCTGAAGCTACTCTGCATGCAGGCAGCTCTGCATTGGTGCTTTTGTCATGGGGATTCTGCAGAGACTTCCCATTTGAAGAAGGGTTCCCATGGCACTCCATGGAGGGTAGAAACCACTGTCACAGAGACAGAACTGAACCTGTCAGGTGGATTCAAAATTACTTCTTTTGTCACTGATACACTCAGACTTGTATCTCTAACATAAAGAAGAAGGAAATGGGGAAATTTCAAGTATTTGAGTTTTCTGGTTTCATTAAAATTTTCAAAAATCTTCTTTTAGTTGTTTTAGCCCGTTTGTGTTTTTAGACTCAGCTACAAAAGTTCCATTCTTTTCTATTTAAGAAAGATTGGTTTGAATTTTTATGACCTCTAGGTTTGCTTTTAATATATTCTCTTTCTCTATTAAGGATATTTGCATTACTTTCTTTTTAAATGCAAAATAAATTATAGTTTGGAATCTGTTGTTCAGTCTGTGGTGAAATGGGGAGAACTGCAGCATGATGTTCCTGGAGAAAGGGAAAGGCCTGCCATGGAGTGTGGCTGCTACGAGAGTGAAGAATTGAATGTCTGTTTGTGGTCTCGAGTAGGTCTATCTCCGGGAGGCACCGTGGCCATCTGCACAATCAGAAATCAGGACCATAAGTGCTTACAAAACCCCCAGGGACAAAGTGCAGTGCATCCTGAGAATGTGCTCTACTATTATGAACCTCCTGAGCTTGGCCAATGAAGACTCTGTCCCTGGAGCAGATGACTTCGTCCCCGTTTTGGTATTTGTGTTGATAAAGGTGGGTCCCTTACTTGCCTTTCTGAGTGGGGTGGTGCAAGGGCTTCATATGCTATTAGAGACCTTGGCTTTTTTCCAGCCTTCAAGCTCTCAGGTTAGGCATATATTCTTATAATTCTTTTTTCTCAATTTAATTATTTTTAGAGCAGTTCTTAATGTTTGCAGTATTTCTGCAACCTAGCCTCTTAGAGTTAGAACCCTATATGATGGGTTTGTGATCTGTCCCAGCTCCTCCTCTGCATCCCTGCTCTTTTCGCTTCCACACGGTATCGTTAACATTGCAGAGCCCATCGAATCTTGTTTTAAGGAAAAGCCTTGAGCTTGCCCTCTCTTCATGTGGAAGGGGTGGGGGTGGGGTGTGTGTGGGTGGAATCAGGACACATTCTGTGTTACCTCTTGAAACTGAATATGTTACCATTTTTGTTACTTCTGTCTCAAAGTTGATACTCTCAGCTGATCCTCTAGGACTTCTTTTCCGATTCAACCCATTTGCATGCAACATTTATTTCCCTACTACATTTATTTCCTGGAACTCGGGCATGTTGAGTAAAACCATTGAGAATAATCCAGCCTCCTGAGGTCCAGTGTAAAGTGCCTGGCGGGGATAGAAAGCTCTAGATCAGCAATGATGAAACCTGTGTTGCCTTCCTATTATACTATAGCTACTCATGATGGCTGGGGTTCAAAATTACTTGTAAAAGAATTTGAATGATGATCTGAAGGTAAAGTGATTTTATCAATTAGTCTGACTAATTGAATCCTTTTTGATTTTCCCCTTTTTAGGCAAATCCACCTTGTTTGTTGTCCACTGTCCAGTATATCAGTAGCTTTTATGCCAGCTGTCTGTCTGGAGAAGAGTCCTATTGGTGGATGCAGTTCACAGCTGCAGTGGAATTCATTAAAACCATTGATGACCGGAAGTGACCAAGATCAAGGCCCACCAAAGCAGCAGACTATATATTAGTTGGGCAAATCGTTTTCAGAGGAAATTTACCAGCTGCTTTGAAGGCTGAAGATTGCTTTTGTATAATATTGTACAGCACTCAGACATTTAAAAACAGATCTTTACTAAACAGATTAATGAGCTATCAAGCAGGTTTTCTTTGGGCTCTTTTCCTTTCAGAGTTGCATAATTTGTGACTTTTTTTGTCCACCCAGTAGAGACTGAATAGCACTGCAAAAAGGGACCACATTTTTCAGGTATTTTAAAATATTATAAAACAAAAAGTCTCTTAGGAAATTCCTAGATATCTCCATCCATGGATACACATTCTTTCCTTTTCTTTAAAAAAAAAAAAACAACTTAAAAAGGAACAGTACACCTCTTAAGATACCATCTAATTTGTGTGCATCTGATGGAAGGAAAATGCCGATTGCACTGAGGAATGTAGTAATGGTGACATTAGTGGCATTATCTATAAATGCACTCAACTAAATAGAAAAGATACGAAGGAAATGTAAATATAATATATATTTATATTTGATGTATTAAGGACATCTTCAGATTCTAATAAACAAGGGATGTTTCTGGAAATAGGTTGTAAACATACCCTCTTGTGAAATGGTTGCCTTGACAAAGTTAAGCTGAGCTTAAGAGCAAATAATAATAATACACACAAGTATTTATTAAAGTGTAATACAGTATATAGAATTTTCTTGGTGTGGAGTCTGATATGCAGGGCTGGCTTTGATGAGGAGGATAAAAATTGCTGAGTCGGCCACTCAGGCAGTGCTTGCCCTGGATGTTTTGAGCCTGAACATGGGTGATAGTCTTTTCATCACCATGAATTACATTAAAAGGAACAATAGCTAGCTAATACTTTATTGCGGTACTTCTCATCTGAAATATTAAACACACCGTAGAAACCCCAAACAGAGCTCCTTACAAACCTTTAATTGTAATATATTTTTTGATGATTATTCACATTGAAGGAATTCAGGAATTCAGTGAATGTCATTTTTTTAAAAACTAATTTGTATTGTCTGCTCTAGTGACACAGGTTTTACTAGTGATATACTATTTTAATCAATCATACTATTCTTATGAAAAAAAAGTCTATTTTGGCAGGTTTTTGTGCCTTTATTTCCCTCTTCTGGAAAAAAACAAACAACAGTGTATGTTTCAGTAGTTTGGTTTTTCTTCTGTATGAGTAATGAGTCCAGGAATAGGTTTGGTGCCCAAGGAAATTTGCCACAAGGCACACGGACGCTTCAAGCACAAGTCTTGACTGGTTTTACTTTGTATGTTTCTCAAACAGTTTACTCATTGGCTTCTTTTATATCAATCTCAGTCCTACACTTTGAATCCTTGTTGCTGGCTCCACCCTTTTCCAGGGACCTGTGACCTGTGAGGAGCATCCAGGAGCAGGTGGATGCAGAGGCTGCCGGTGCCCTCCCTCAGCTCTGTTTCCTAACACCTAAGGAACCTCACGAAGCTGCGTTTTCTTTATGACTTTACTTTTCCTCGTTCATTTATCTTAAGACATCAAGTTGAATAGAAGTGTGGGTGTGGTTTCTGCTTTTTAGGAAGATATAAAAATTTAACCAGTACTACAATACATTCTTTTGAATGTTAGGTCAAGAAATTGGTGTAGAGAGTTTTGTTCATCATGGGGTGTAACTGTCCAACTTGCCGAGCAATTTCAATCAAATCCCATTAGAAATACTCTATAAGACAGACTGTATGTCATGATTTCTAAGGCCTAGATAATAGGCCATCAACATATCATAACAATAAATGTTAACGGAAAACTTGGAATAGTTGGAATTCATTGTAATGGAATTTAACTTGTAAGTCAATGAGAGATTTGTTTTTTCTTCCACAATGGTTGCTAAATCTATTCGATTTGATCACAATGGAAATAAATATGAAGATTTGGACTTTGCACAGGGCTCTGGATGAGACTAGTGGTGCTTTGGGGGTGCATAAGGCTACACCCACTGGCAGGAGATAGGAGTGGATTTTGAGCTAGTGGTGAGGGCAGAACCCTGGAGATTTGGTGTCAGAATTGTGCGCTGAGGTAGGTGCTTGGGTCTCAACTCAAGTGTAATGTTTTAAGGGGCAGCAGATTTCCCTCTGAAAAGCCTGTTGGCATTAACCACACAATTTATTTGATCTCATGGCAGGATTTCATGTAAAACTGATTTTGTATGAAGTGACAACTGCACGGCAGTGGAGGTGGTGTGTGGGATGGGAGTGAGTTGGTCTTTCTCTTTCTGGAAAGAATAGTTATTCAAATGTTTCTTACTAAGTGCCATCCCAGTACTGTGTTACATGAAGAATCTAGAACAAAAGTATAAAATCACCTATGGGGAACCTTCATTGAATGTGCAGATTATTGCTGATTAAAGGAGATGTAGCCCAGCCCAAGGGAATCTTCTAAAATTAGCTCTACTGAAAAGGAAAAGCTATTTGTATTTTGTGTTAATACTCTTCCAGGTTACATAGTAGAAGTACAGGTGGAAGGTCGTCTTTCCTTATATTCCTTAAATCATTTAAAAACCTGATAAACATTTTGTTTGATTTAGGTCAAACCTCAGCCAGTTACTGCTTTCCCTTTTTAAAACCATGCTTACAAAAGCCAATTTATACAGGTAGGTAGCTATAGAATGAAAATTAGGCTTTCTAAGAGATTGAAAATCTATGTGATAACATGGTTTTTCTCTTCCCTTTGTGTTCTGGGAGCCTTCGTTAAGAATGGACACATCACTGTGGTGTGAAAACAGGAAAATCAAATCCCCGCAGGAGCAATGACGCCCAGACTCTCCAAGCCAGATTAGCTGGCTGTTCAGGCTATGCTCCCAGTTTGCTATTACTAGCCATGAGAATTCCAGTTTGGACCAAGTAAAGGTCAGCTAGGTATTTTTAAATGTTTAGGGTTTAAAAAGTATCTTATTTCATTGGCCATTAAGAGGGAAAGTAGGAACACGCTAGAAATTATTAGTGGATTGCCTAGAAGCAATAGAAATGTGGTGGAGTTCTCTTCTCTACCTTGGCTGTGTGCCCTCGACTTTCTCCTGCCTCTCCATTCAGTTTTTTTTTTCTTAAAGGGAAAATATTTTGCCTCTCATTTTCAGTGTGAGGGGAGGGTTCAGAAATAATCTTGAGGCTCAAGCAGTTTTTAATAAACAGATTGACAGTGTTGAGATAGTTTGAATGCCAAAATGTTTGAGAACTTTGCCAGATTAATAATTACGTAATATATGTTAGAATGTAGGTTACCCAAGAAGTAGGATGCCCAGAAATAGCTTTTTACCCTTGAGAACATGTGGGGAGTGAATATTGGGCTGGCTTCAGAGTTCAGTCAAAGTTGGTATCATTGAGCTCTGGCTTGTGGAGTTATGGGCCTGATTTATCTCTGGCCAGCCCACAGTCGGCAAAGATGAAGTCAAGAACCAGGAAGGCGTTTTCACGTGGGTCACGGCAGATGGTGTGGGCAGGGACTAACACGCCTTAAGAATTCACCTCTGCTGAGTTGATGATCTGTCTTGTGACTCATGCTCTTTGTGCTTCACCTACTTGAAAACTTTGTACTTAACTGCCTCTTGAAACTGGTCAGACCTTTAGACAAGCTGATGTTCACGAGCTTGCACTCTCTTGTATATGTACAGGAAACTCGCCCTGTCTCCTTTTTGTGAAGACTGATGTATGATGCCATTCTGTGAAACTGATTAAAAGGAGCGAGCCGTTTGATTCACTGGCGTGTATGTTTCCATCACCTTATTTTGTATTCAGAAGCACTTCTGAAAATTCCTTTGACTTTTTGAATACTACCGATGTTCTCCATAAATCTCATCTTCCTGAAGCTAAAGGTATTTGTTAAGTGTGGTGCAAGAAGGAACTAGGATTACCCAGCAGTTACTGATGAGGTGGTGGACTTTTCCTGTTTGAACCCAGCGAGCCCTTGAGTTGATAGCAGTTATTGGCTTTAGTTCTGAAAGCAAAAGTGTCACCATCCAAATTAAGATTTTCAGTGGACATTATGTTAATCTTTGTAGCTGAGGAACCTAGCATTTGATGAAGTGCGCAATCTCCTGGAGGCTGACTCCCTCTGCAGGATCCTGCCCCTGGTGGAGAGGCCCTTTCCCTATATTCTTGGCACTTCATCGAGAAGGAAAGGCTTGAAAACTATCAGGGCTCAGTCTCCCGCCCCCCCCCCCCCCCCCCCCCCCCAGCATTAAAATTAATGCCGTGACTTGCCTAAAACTGAAAATAGAACTCGGCTCTTTTTGGCAAACTCAGAATTGTATATATCTCGGGGATTTCTGTGATATTTCTGTCACGCAGCCCTTGGAGTCCCTGGCTGCTATGTAACACACTTGACTATTAACGGATAGGTTTCGCGTTTCTAGTCCACACAGAGGCACTGGAATAAAGGCCTGACAACCTGCCCCATGTTTCTCAAACTTTCTGTTAGAGTCACGTGCTGCCCTTGTTTGTCCTCCGGCCCCTGTTCTTGGGCAAGTGTGAGAAGCAGTCGAAGCTATTGGACCACCTGTACCATACACCTTGGGCTGTTTTGAAAACTATCCACTCGTGATCCCACCCCATGCCCACTGAATCAGGATTTCTAGTGTAGACCTTGGGAATCTGCATCCCTAGCAAACGTCCCAGATGCTCTGAGGCATACTAAAATGTGTAGTCTCATGCAGCCCATCCTATGAGAATGCATGGGGAAGGCTCTTCTAAAGAATGAAGAACTCTTACTGGACATCCAGTCCAATTGGTCCTTAAGGATAGTTTTTTATGTGCCTAAATACTCGTGTTTATAGTCTGATTATTTAAAACTATTTTTCACCTAATCTCATGGTCACCAAACATACATACCTGGGAGAAGCCGTGTTCAATGACATACTCAAGTTTCTATTTGAAAACAAGTTTGTGAAATCATTCTCATTATTGAAAAATGTAAGTGGCTGTCTCATTTATAGTTTGTATCCATTCTAAGTCAGTGTTCCATGTGGGAGAGCAGCATTGATTCCAGCAGCCACTCTGTAGCTGTTTGGCTCTGAGTGCAAGTTGGTCGCTTCTAATGCAGAACCTTCAGCAGCTTCAGTGTGCTCCCTATCCTGTTTCTGTTCCCCACAGTCAACATTTCCACTCCCAACTCCTGCATTTACCTCCCTCTTGGCCCACCTCACTTCCTGGTCCCTGCCCATCCTGCTTGTTGTCTTTGGTGGCTTCTTCATGACTGAAGTGAGGCTGCTGAGTGGGCACAAGCTGAGTGCGTGAAGGGAAGATGGTGAGGGGCCATTCCACTCAGTGCCTTGGGTGCTGCTCGCCAGCACAACACGGCAAAGTGGGCCCACACCAGCAAGCCGGCCCTAGGAGAGGTGGTTTCTTTTCCCCTTGGATCACTCTACTCTTAGCCCCCCACTCCCCAAATTTTCCTTTATTGTTGCTAGAAATACAACAAAAAAATACACCACTTCTACTGGTTCTACAAGTACAATTTGGTGACACTGATTACATTTCCTTGAATTGGCTAACCTTTCCTGCCCTCTTTTTGAGTTATTCCACCATAATAAACAATTTCACTGACCCACCCCTCCCCTGAGCCCTCTCTAATCTTTGTAGTTGTCAGTTTGATTCCATATGAACTCCTCCAGAACACTGCCATTGAGTCCATTCTGACTTGGGTTGATCCTATAGGACAGGACTGCTCCTTGTGGGTTTCTGAGACTTAATTCTTATTGCGGGGGTTGAAAGCCTTGTCTTTCTCCCGAAGAAGCACCTGATAGTTTCAAACTGCCAACCTTGTGGTTAGCAACCCAATGCATAACCAACCCACTGTGCCACCAGGGCTCCTGATTCCACATAGATACCTCTTAAAAGAGCACAATGATTAAGGCAGACCTTGGTTACTAGTTAAAACTAATGTTTATTTATAAGATTACTTTAGGTGATATTTTTAGATTAAAGTTAAAGATTATCTCAGGGAAATTTCAGGTATTCACCTCCTATGGTTCCAGAAGGGCTGGACTCTGAGAATTTTAAATTCTATTATGCATTTTCTTCATAATTCTTTCATGAGGTTGTTTGGTCAAATGTAACGGTAGCTGGACACTATCCAGTTCTTAGGGTCTTAAGACAAAGTAGTTGTTTATGAAAGCAGTTATTTTCAAGGTGTTTATCCTCCTGTTCCTGACTCACTCTCCCTCTTGCTCCAAGTGAATTGAGACCAGTTGTGCGTTGGGTCGCCTTGTGCAAGCTTTTCAAGACCCCAGGCACACGGCAGTGAATGAGGAGGTACAACAGAAGTATTAATGTTATTTGGGCCCAGGAAACCATGACCCTCCCTAAACTTCCAAGCCAGAACACCAAATAACCCATGGGGAGTTTGTAAATAAGCAGCCTCAGCAGCTACTTTTTTTTTTTTGTCGTCTTCTGCCTTTGTTGTAAAGATACCACCACCTTTGCCAATTCAACTTTAACAGGTCAATAACGGCAGCAATTAGAATAATCAGCTGTGAAACCCTGTTCTTAATTTGATTTTTTCCCAACTGTAAGCTTCCTTTTTACAATTCCTTCTGGTAACCCCTAATAAACTTTTGTCTCTACATTTGTCTTGTGTTTGTATAAGTGAACGCTTACACTATTTGTCTTTTCGTAATTGGCATAATGTCTTCAACTTCTTTCCATACCGTAGCCTGTATCAAGACTTCATTTCTTCTCCTGGCTGGGTCATATTCCCCTGTGTGTTTGTGACATAGTTTGTTTACCTCTTCACTTAGGGGCATTTAGGTTGTTTACACCCTTTGTCTGTTATGAGTGGTGATGCCATGAACATTGAGGTACAAGTTTCTTTTTGAGTCTCTACTTTCAAGTCTTAGGTGTATATTGGGAATGAATTGCTGGGTCATATGGTCGTCCTGTTACTTGAGGGACTGCCACAGTTTTTGACAGCTGCTGAATCAATTTGTGCTCCCACCAGCGATGGATAACGCTTTTAGCATCACCACAGCCTTGCCAACATGTTACTTTGTGGTGTTTTTCATCTTAATCATTCTAGTGGGAGTGTATGAAATATTTTTGATTCACATCTCATTACTGTCACAGACTACTATTTTATGTTTGGCTATTTATCCTGTTTGGGGAAGTGCCTATGGAGATCCATTTCAATCTTGGGTGAGCTTTTTATCTTCAAAGTTTTCTTCTGTGTGTTTTTGATATTGGATTCTTGTCAGGCATACCATTTCCAAAGATACTCCCCAAGTTGGTAGCTAGTCTTTTTACTATTTTGGCAAAGTCTTTTGATGAACAAAAGTTTTCATCTTTATGGGGTCCTCTTTGTCTTTTTCAGTTTGTACTTTTGCTATTGTATTAGAGAATCCACTGTTAGAAGCAAGGCCTGACAGTGTTTCCCCTGTTTGTTCTTCTGAGGGTTTTATAATTTCAATTTGCACATTTAGGTCCTTAATCCATGTGGTATAAGACATCCTAGATCAATCTTGTCACTTACTGAAGAGTCATGGGTTTCAGATACGGGAATCTAAAGATGGTCCAGTCTTAGCTGTGCCACTTATCAGACCAAAAGCCAGTGAATTGTTGACTTTGAGGGGGGTTCTCCAGATTTGGACTTGATTACCTCTTGTTTTGTCATGGGCCGCCAATAGTTCTGACTTACAGCAACTCATACAGCAGAAGAAAATGCTGCCCAGGCCTGTGCCGTCTTCACATCCTCACAATTATTGCAGCCCCTGTGTCAATCCAGCTCATGGAAAGTCTTCCTCTTTTCCTTTGACCCGCTACCGAGCACAAGCTCTCTGGTTTTGCTGTGTCTGGGGGTGCTGGGGTGGTGGTGGTGGTGTGTGTGTCTGTCTGTCTGTGCTCTATGAAATGTGTGTGTGTGTGTGAGAGAGAGAGAGCGCTATGAAATGTCTCCCAAGCTCACATTTAATTGAGGGATAGAGATCAGAGCAGTGACACCATGGAGGGTACTGTGAGGACCATGAGTGTGGGAGACCCCTGATGGAAGAGCCCATCCACTGTGCTGATTCACAGTGGAATTTTAACCAGAACTAATGCAACAGGGAACAATATAGCCATTAAGCCCTTAGCAAAGGAGTATGTGACACCATTCTAGCAGCCAACTGAGCATTGACTGAAAAAGGGTCGGGCCAGCCACTGATTATACTCTCAATTGTCACATAAATAAAATGTGAGCCGAGAAATCACTTGAGAACCCACTTTTTGGGGAGCCAGTGGTCTGAGGGCCCAGCCCCAATCCCAACTATGTGGATAGCCGCCCCTCCCCCCAGAAGAATTTACTTCAGATAACAGCACTGAAGCTGCAGGTTGGGGAGAGGGACATGTCTGATCAGAGCACACGGGAGCAAATGAAGGGGGAGGAAGGGAGTGGGCACATCCTGGCCCACCAAGCCTTGAGGACGATATCCCGGCTCAGAGCAGCCAGTGCACAGAGTGGACCATGTGGCTGGCCCCCCTATGAGACATGACATCCCTCACTGACCCATGGCCCTACAAGGGACAACACTGTCCAGTGTCTGGATTGGCCTGGTCTGGCCCCACCGCACAGAGGCAAAACATTAAGGGCGTGCAGGAGACTAGCAGGGGGAGCAGAGCAGGGAGGTCCCGAGGGAGTTCCAAGGATAGACTTTGGGGCCAGGGTGTGGCATCCCATCGGACTTGACTGGCGGACATTCCTAGAGGTCAACAAACAGACTGAACTATTTA